CACTTCAAAACTCTTTTTCTGGCTTCCTGTGAGATAAGTTAACTTACATGAAAGTGCACTTTTGTGATTAAAATTTTCCTCAAGTAAAGAATATTCAAGTTGTCATAACTGCTTGAAGACTACCTCTGCCTGCCACTCAGAATGCGTAGTTGTGTACACTTTCATTTTTTGAGGGGAAGATTCTGAATTAGAGATAATCTCTTCTTGTGACATTGCTCCCGAGGGTAAAGATCTCGGGTGGAAGAGGAGTCTATTTAGGGTGATACTGAGTTATAGAACATGAATATTTAGATATAAACTAAATTATTTTAAAACCAGATAAATATCCTTTTGTAGTAATTATGTCATGCAAGCATATAGTTTTAAGTAATCACTAATGCTGATTCAGAATTCGTGTTTAAGTCAGTGGCCTTTGGAACATTATTTTCTAATTTGCAGCCAGAAAACTTGCAACGTCTGAATTAGTAAGAGAATGCTATATAGCAAGAGATCTTATACCTTTCTACGTTGTTGGTGGAGGAATTGACCCGCAGACCGGGATAGGACTTGAAGTATTATGTGATTTTTAAGCTATTGTTAGGAGATCTTCAGATGATACAAAAAGCCTTTGCTGAAGATAAATAACTTGTATGTTGTCTTTTAATAACAAAATGGTAAAGCCAAAGTTTGATAATTCTTTTTTTGACATTTCACTGTATGTTGTGACTTCTGTTTCTTCTTTCTTGCTTTCCTAATGGCTGGCCCATCAATTATGCAATGTGCAAACAGATGTTTAGCTGTGTTTAGTCGTTTCTGGGTAGGTGACCATTTATATCCTTATTTAGAATCCATTCTTCTCCATTATCATTATTGCTTTTAAATGAATGTACTGAGAAATAAATTAGAGAGGAAAGTTTCTTTTCAGTAAGGTAGGATTTGTGCTGCAGGCAGGAGTATACAAATATTTGCCACGCTTTCTTCATTGCAGAGCTTTTTATATATCCCTCAATTTATAGCACACTTTCCTCTGCTATACTACATAATACTCGGAGTATGCAGGATATTACAGTTCATCTTTGCTTCTTTATGTTTTATGGGATCCATTATTCAAGAGGAAGAATAAGCTGCTAGAAATGACACTTGAAGTTGCTTGTCCTAGTGAGTTAGGCGCTAAACAAATGTTATTTGTCAAATAATCAGAAACGCAGCTGTGGAATAAGTAGTTTGGAGAAGTGTATTTCTCCATTCTGATTTTTGCTCTATTCTGTCAGAACTCAACGGTGCTGTCATATAAATTCTAATTCTGTTGCTACTTGTAGCTTAGTTGGAAACTCTCCCAGTTTGAGAGGAGTACCATCACTACTTCCTTAAAGTCAGTACTGGGAAACAAGAATTTTTCTTCTTAGACCACTAGCTGTCTATTCATAATTACAGAAAACGCAAGTTAGGCTTATGAATCTTATGTCTGGATCAGTAGAGGCCAGAAGCAGTGACCTGTACTGCTTTGCTTCTGAATAACTGATCTTTCTGAGGATTGATTGCCAAAGATCACCAAAGTGAGAATGGAGATTGGCAGTAAGAACTCCTTCAGCGCTGTCCAGGTGCTAAAGGGGGAATAACTAGGGGAGTGATGTGAACGTGACCTTCGTTTTTGGCATTTCATATCAAATGTTTTAAAAGGAACACTTTTTAAGTGGGGCTCCATTTTAATTTTACTGAATACCAAATTCTGACTGCTGTGATTATTAGAACTGGAATTACTCGTCTTAATCTGTAGCAGACTGCTTCGAAGATAGTTGCTAATTATGTGTAAAGGAACATTTACATCTTGGGTGGTGTTGGTGGTTGAACGGGATTGCATGGCTGCTTTATTGATTCATGGGGAGGTTACTGCAGTAACAATTGGGACCCTTACTTCCAGAACTACAAGTTCTAGGTCTGCGGGACCATTCCATTCTTCAATGGTGGCTGTGTAGGCCTCTGTATCGTACGTATAGCAAGGAAGCAAGGAATATCACAGGTCTCTTTAACTACCTCCAGCAACATTAATCTGCGTATATACACAGTCATCTGTGCGTTGCACGCTCTAATTTTCTTAAATTATTTTGTCCATCCTTTATATATATTTCTAATTCCTTTTGTGGACTCCACGCAGCTTAGGATTTTACGATGATAAACCTGTATCACATTTTGAATCCAACTCTAATGGTCAGTTATACAAAATCTTATCTTAAATTTATATCCATTAGCTACAGCATGACAAAATTGTGGAATGCTTTAGAATAAAACTATTGAGCTACTGGACAAGGCAGCTTGGTTTTGCCTGTTGTTTGTAGCAAATGAGTCCTGCCAAGTAAAATTATTATGGAGACTGGCCTGTCTGTTTACTCAATCTAGCATTCTTAAAATTTGAGCCATGCTACTCAGTTAAGTCTGCAGGGCCTTCTGCTGCACTCCCCCCTTACCCCAGTATCTCATCTGGGTTTGTTGCAAGCTGACCAGTTTCAGCTCTTATTCATGTTTGTCTTCATATTTTTTATTAAAAAGTGCCTTTGGTGGTACAAAATGTGAAAACTTCAAGAAGCTTTACCCTTGGTATTAAGTTTTAATGACTTAAACTCATGTTTTAATCCAGAGCAACTGCTAATTTATTTTCATATTGTTTGTTTTTGTTTGACAAAAAGATGTTAAATGGGTTTATTTCTTTAGTTCTTTTGATGTGTATGTGCTGTTAGGACAGAGCTGTTGTAAAGAATTTGTATAATACTTTAAAGGGTCGCTCATTGTCAGCTTCCGCATGTCAGGTGACCCTATAAATTAATATCCTTGAGAAGTGATGAAGCTAACATATGGTGAAGATGACCAAACTGCTTTTTCTTCCTGTGAATTAAGAATTTTAGTATTTCTTTTTTATTAGAAATTGTGACTGTAATTCTTGAAACCAAGCTGTTTTATAACACTGTTCTATCATGAGTTTCACTTCTGTTTGTTAAAATAGTGTGCTTGGATTATGCCATAGCTAAAACTGGAAGTTATTCATCACAGAGAAAGTAGTATGCCTCAAAGTCCTGCAAAAATTGGATAAATAGTACTCAGGATACTATTTGCTAATGTCTCAAGAATGGAAAAATGCATGTAGCCAGAAATCCCTGGAAACTGCAGTTAATGATGATTATTCACGTTCAGGCAAATGATTTTTCAGTTACCAATAACAGAGGAAATTTGCTTTAAGAAAGCACTGTATCAGCTCTGAACTTTGGATGCTAGATTGTATTGCACGTTGTTGAGGGTGACAGGGTTTTTGGTGAGCAGTCTGGCCCTGCTGGAAATGAGAGTTGCCTAAGGAAAAGTACGTTGCAAAAAAGCAGATTTTTACTTATGTTCCTCTGCTTCTTGTGTCTTCTGTGGTAGATGCCAAATGTAATGGATATCTTGGAGACTTTTAAGTGCCTGCAAGTACTTGATGTTGTTGCAGGCAGTAATCAATAGTCTTTTTTGGCACTGGAGTTTGATTCAGATCACCAGTTCTAAACCACCAAACAAGAGACCTTGATTTATAGCAGCTATTTTAATTTTGAATAGCACTTATAACTTTTTGTTCTTTCTTTATTTTAAAGAAAATTTGATTCTCATTAGCTGTTAATCATAAAAGGATGTTGATTTGCAACTAAAAGTAGCCTTTTACTCAGTTTGATACTTTGTTTTGTTAACCACTAGGGGACCACTTGTTCATATACAAATTTATGCTGATGTATATTAACGTTTAATTGATATCGTTCACAAATTAACTTATCTGACATGTATGTCAGACAAGAAAAAAGTAAGCTTAGTGGAACAAATTCTAAACTTAGAACTAGCTAGTTCACTGAAAAAGGAAATACTATTTATATTTAATATTTTAAATTGATCATTTCTGGTCACATTATCCTTCTAGATTTTAAAAAGGGTGATCTTATTCTCTCTCACCTCATTTTCGTTTATGTTTTGGCAGCAGATTTTTCTTCTTTTTCAACTTCCAACTAAGACTGAATGAGCTGGTCATTGAATTCAAGTAGCTGAAACATTAAAGCGAAGAAAATATTTTCTTAACATCTGCAGAAAAAACTATTGCTGTCAAGAGCTGGTTTAACATTTCAACAAGCTGTATACCCAAGTGTTCAGCTAATGAATTTCAACAGTTCATTGCTTTTGACTGTCTTTGAAATTTTAGTAGCAAAAATATACTACTTGTGCATTTTTTTCAGCATAGTTTAAAATTAGCAATAACTTGTAGTAAATGTAATATTAAATATAGTTAAAGCTGTAAACATGCATTTATTTTTTGTGGGGAAAAACACATTTTTCATCATTCAACTACTTATAGTTGAATGCTTAATACTAGAATTCCTTGTGTCAGAACACTGATGATAAGTTAAAAATACATTGTCATGGTCACACAGGCCTCTGGAGACCATACTACCTGTCATGTACATGTGCAACATGGTTTTTTTTTTGTTAGTTTTGTTTTTTCAATGATTGAAGACTTTCCCACACTCTAGTCAGCTACTTATTAGCTGCTGCTTAATAGCAGAAAGGGACCATAGTGGTGCCCACAGGACATCTGGGAATATTAGCACTCAGAGCTTTCAGCTATGCCATCATCACAGTTGCTAATAATTATGAGAGAATGTCTGTTTTTCAGCTGGGGGCTGCCAAGTTTGTGTATGTGGCTCTTCAAATATTTGTATTTTATTCTTTGGAAACATCTGCAACGTGTGCTTTTGGAGTATCTCAGTCAATTTTTTGTCAAAACTTAGCAGAAGTTGAAGAAAAAGACTTGCAATGCAGTTTGACCTCAGAGTGATCGGAGGAGGGAGTCAACTTCTTGCCAAAGCGATGCTAAACAATGAGTTTTAAGATCTGTGTTGTTTCATAAAACTTTTTTCTCTAGTCTGAGTGCAATTTGAATGAAGTGTAATAAAAAATAATGTTCCAGACGTGGTCTTTGTGAGGCAGGTGTTAATTGGTACTTTCTTTTTCAGCTAATCTTCCAGTACCTACTATTGCCGCAATAGATGGGACTGCGTTAGGTGGTGGCCTAGAACTTGCTTTAGCCTGTGACATAAGAGTGGCAGGTAAGTCTGGATCCTATTAATTGAACAAAGGATGTTTAGTGTTGCAGGATGCTTGACTAATCTTTGTCTTGGCAACAGTCTTATAAAACTGATTTTGTATTCTGAAGTTGTTTATGACCAATTATTTCTGAGAGATTTAGCAGAAACTTGACTGAAGTAATTGCTGATGTTTAATTTCATGCAACTTATCACTGATAGCTGGAATATTTTTGTTGTGTGTTTTATTTCGTTCTTAAGATCTTCACTTTATCACTAGCAATATTCCCAGAAGGGTTAGGTAGATACTTTGATATTTTACTTAATTATTAAAATATTCTCCTCATTTGGAGAGTTCTAGATGGACTATTTGTTTTTATGCAAACAGGTTGCGGGGGACAAGCAAAACTTGTTTGTGAGTTTATTATTAAACAGGCAATTAAGCTGTTATAAAAGTGACAACAACACATGAAAAGAAGAACCTTGACCTATCCAGCTGTCAGAACTGTAAAGCCATTTGTTGGAAAGTAAATGGAAACTTGGTCCTGAACAGTTGCCAGTAACTCATAGTATATAAAGCTGTTTGACCCTGAGGGAGTATTCAGTCAGCTAAAGAATTCATAATCAT